ATGGTCAGGTGACCTGCTGTGCATGGCTGTGCATGACCTCATATGACCTCATCCTTGGTCATATGACCTGACCACCTGACTAGGCTGAGTAAGCAAGATGTTCTAGCAGGTTCCACCACAGAGGTATAAATATAAGGCCTACTCTGCCTGGGGACTGTCTCTTCAGACTTGGTCTCTTAGGATCATCCACAGATACCTATACTGTAGATAGGTCTTAGTCATCAGGTCTACTCCGCTTCCTTGTTGCCTGCGTAGACTCTTGGCACTCTTAGGTGAACAGACTTAGTCAGCCTGTGTTGCCCTAACAGTTGTATAGAACCAGTCTCCTTGTCAATTGAGGAAATGGAGCAAGTTTGGCCATTGATCCTCATCCAACAATTTGCATCAGATTGCTCTTCATGAGGGGAGAGATGTATCCAACAAGTTGCGCAGTGTTCATGCCAGTTACAATGTTGAACAAGTTGCACAGCTCCCTCCTTAAAGGACTGGACAGAGGGTAATGGCAAAGGTGGCAAGGTACGGGGGTCAATGTCATCTGGCATGAGTTTTGGAACAGGGAGAGGACCAGATGTCTCTTCAATGACAGCTTGATTATTGGGAAGTTTGGTTTTGATGAGATTTTCCAGCCAGGTGAACATGCATGTTTTGAAATTGTCTTTATTTGCATCCAATAACTTGCACAATTTGTTCAGGCCAGGATTGCCAGCAATCCAAAGTAGCATATGGCAGTGAAGGGTGCCTCGGCCCTGAGCCTCTACCATACCATACCATGCAAGACAATTGCCAAAAAGGCCAGGTCCATTTCTGACTCAAAGGATAAGATCCCAAAAATGGAGCATTGTGTCATGGAAAACCTTGGCTGCCAAAGCTGGATTTTCAGCAATGCTGATTGCATGGGAGAAGCATGTTTGCTTTGTTGTACCTTGCAGAATATGTGCATCTTCATAGGCATTGATGTGCAGATGTGGAAGCCATCTGTCAATGTCATTAGGTGTGATTGTGACAAAGAAGGCAGGGAGACCAAATCAATACATCAGTGAACATATTTCATTGCACCTGATCTGTTTATAGCCGTCACTCCCAGGTACGTCATTTTGGAGCATCTGGATGTGCCACAACACACGCAGGGCCAGCATTTCACTGGTGCCAGTGGGTTTAAATTTGGCATCATGCTTCAGGTGAGCAGCAAGGTCTAACAGATCATCAGTGCGAAGCTTGCACAGATTCTCCACAAAGCACATGTGACCACCTTGGGTGTGAGGGCACTAGGTCTAGCAAGGTCGCCATACACTTATCCCAAACAATAGATGAAGTGCTGGGGGGTCTACTGTGGTTGAAAGCAGCTCTAACCAGCAGTATTAGTTGATATCCATGTCACCAGGGCCAGCTGGATTATTGGGGGGGTCCAAGGGGGTCACTGGGGGGTCCCAGGGGGTGTTATAAGTCGGTTATAGATAGCTGAAAAGTGTAGCAAGAGTTGTGGAGTCAAGGCAGGTTTCTGAGAGCAGGGTGTTCAGGCATGTGTAGAAGGGGGTTCAAGATGATGAGATGACTTAGAAACTGCTTGTAGACTAAGGAGTTTCCTCAGAGATCAAATCTGAGCGATACAGCATCACTGTACTACTGTTTATATACCTTGTAGGTGTTCACCAGAAGCCCAGGAGTCCAGGTAAATTCTGAGGACTCCTACAAGTGTCAGATAGACGTCCTACTAACACCCCTAGGCCTCCCAAACCTTTCCAATAAATTGTGGAGACTCCTACAAGTGTCATCTTGTGTCCCACTACTCCCAGTAGGGGCCTTTAGCACTGCTATGTCTCACCCCAAGTGTCTGGACACAGCAGTCTTGTGGTGTCCTCTGCACAATGTCTTGTATGGCCACTGCCATCATCCTAAGGCAGTTACCTGCACAGGAAGTTCCAGGGGCTTGTTGTTTCATTGCTCCTAGGGTGAAATGGGTGGCCAGGGGTGGTAACAGGCAGTGCCCTGACATTGGGTGATTCGGAAGCAAACATTGCATATACTTGTGCATTTTAAGATGATACTGTGAAAGATGAAGGGGAAGCATAGATCCCGTTGGAAATGCTTGTTGGCAAGACAAAGAAGATGAGCAAGTTGCTGTGTCATCAAGACTGGAATTCTTCTACAAGGATTGTCAAAAACCCCCCAAACCAAAAGGATTGAGATGCAGGAACATCCATGTGAGGGTATATGCATTTCTGAGGTCATGGATGGGGTGAAAACCTGTCCTCACCATGACAAATGGCCCTTTTTGGTCTAGAACGTGCACTGATCCAACCCAAGAGGTGTCCGAAATATTGGTCTGATGGGTGGTGTGCAAGAACTCACTAGGGAAAGAGGGGAGAGATGGGGAAAGTTGGTAGGAATGCTGGAGTCAGCCTGTAGCTGAGCTATCAAAAGTTGGTATGCAATAATCAGAGCTCAGTGTCTGTCCAGTCCAGTCATGATAAGTCAAGTCAGAATCTGCTAAGTCAAGTCAAGTCTGCTAGTATACCAATAATCAGATCTGTATAATGCTAACCAATAAGGGGCAGAATAAGCTAGATACAGGAGTTTCTGGAAACTACTTATACTAGCTACCATAAACCATACCCTATACTAATCTGGTCTCTGGATACCTCTCTAAGACAAGCATTGGCATGCCAAATATTTGTGTGGGTCAATCCTGTTGCAGGGGAAACCTGCAGTTGTCATGCCAAATATCCGAGAGGTCCCATTGCCTGGGAAATCATAGTAGTCCCCATGCTGAATATCCGGGGGGGTTGAGACTCATCACTGGGGTGCAATGTCCTGCATTGTGAGGGTCTGTAGTGCTGCACAATGGTCTCTAAGGCCCAAAAGTAACCATGGGAAGACTGGCCTGACACACCCCACTGGAGGTGGGGTTGTTCAGCATGAGTGCATTGGCTTTCATTGCTTGATGGGCAGCGGTAGAGTGGGATAACACTGTAGCCAGAGGGCTCGAGGAGGAGATCTTGGGGCAAAATGTGCACCCCTTTGAAGGAGTTTCTTCCAGAGACATCTGACTCACTGGCAAGTTGTGTGTCATCCATAAACATGTGGTTGACCTCAACAAAAGGTGCAAGATCAACAGAGTCAGTGCATGTCTCACCATCCCAAGGGAACAGAGAGCAGAAGTTGTCCTTGGAAAAATGAGCACCATCTGGAAAGTCCTCACATTGGCAAGTGTATGCCTTATTGTGTACAAGGAGGAACTTGATGATCTTGTGCAAGTTGGTGGCACTGGCTTTCAAGGGCTGTAATCTGTGCAGGTTCTCTGGAGTGGGTTTGTTGTGACCGGCAAAAACCACAACAAAACTTGATTTGACTGCATCCAACAGTGCAGGAAGGACGTTGTTCAGCTCAGCAGTATCTTGAGGTAAAATGATCACATTTCCTCGAAAATACCATTGCAGACCTTCCAAACCACACCAATATAACCAACTATCAGGATTGTCAATATATCAAAAGCAGACCTTTGATGCAGAGCAACACACAATGAGACAACAATCCATGTAAGTGGAGGAATCAAAAGTGTGCTGAACATCAGGAGGCACATGATCATGTGCATAGTAGAAACCATTTGCAAGAGCGAGAGCAGGGAGCTTGCCTCATCAGAGAGCAGAGAAACAAGAGCCACAGAGGTGCAAGTTACCACCAAATACAGCAGGAGAAGACAGGCCACATGGATCCAAGAAAGTGCACTGATAGCCCACAAAATTGTATGATAAGGGGGAGAGAGGAGCCGGAATGTTCGGATTCTGAAGCAGCACAAGGTCAACATCTTGAACAGGTACCACAGTGAGGTCAACCATATGTATTGCCTCTGCACAACAAGTGCACACACCTTCACGCAGATTCTCCAAAGATACAGCATCAACATATCACATGATTATGTCTTGAACAAGTGCAGAATCATAGGTCAGAGGAAAGGGGTATTCTTGATCCTGTAGTTCATGAATGAACCTGCACCACTTGTGTGGAGGGGGAGAGATGGAAGCCTCTCATGACCACTTAAAATGCCAAGTGAAATGGCAACCAGGGCCATGGTATGGACAGGGAGTTTGCTGTCAAAAGACCCAGGCAAGGGAGCCAGGGAGGGGCACATGTTCAGCAATGTGGGCATGAATGGCCATAACAACCTGGTGCTGGTTGTGTTGCCTCAGTAGGTGCAGACCAACAATGTGCACAATTTGGTCATAATGAGCATGGGTGAAGTATGAATAGACTGTGAAGACTTTGAAGAGAGAAGCACAGAAAGCCAAACAGCCAGACACTTGCTGGAGAGGAGCAGGAGGAACAACAAGTGCATGTTCAAAGTTGTATGTGATATTCAGCTTGTTGGAAGGAATGGTTGATATGCCATCCAATATTAAGGAGCACAAAATATCCAAATGATAATGAGAAGACATAAGAGTAGAGGGATGGTATAGAAAAAAGTGGAGCAGTCTAGAAAGGAAAGAGTGGGAAAGGAGATGCAGGGCAGGAGTGATGAAACACCAGGGGCAAGGGACCGATTAGTCAGAGACGCTTACATATTAACAAGTGGCAGTGACTTCCTTTTAAGGAAGGTTTCGACGCTCGAGCTCACCACCAAAACCTGTGCAACAAGTTGCCCAGGGATATCAGCGCTCAACAGGGACATTACCATACCTACGAAAGAGGCTGTGCCTTCCAGTGAAGGCTTCTATTCTTCACCACGTGATGGGCCTGGTGGAGTTTCATCCGCATGACATTTGGCACTGCACTAATCTTCTGGATGCCACTAGTGCACGAAGAAAAGATATGGATGGCATCACTTTGCACCGTTAGCCAGAACCACGTCATGCTTCTTCTGATCATGCGCCTAAGACTGAATAATCCTCTCAACTATCTTCTGAGCTGCCATGAGCAGGCAGTCATTCCAGCGACAGGGGACAAGCTGGAGGGAGACGGGAGCACCAGCCATATAGTTCGGGTCATATGTCGCAGTGTTTATATTAGGCATGGTCACACAATATAGCAGCGCTCTTACAGAAGTCCCTGAAGTACTTGTCTGCCTCACTCATAGCCTCGGTCGATTCGTACGCAACGTCAACTCTCGGATCCAGTTTGAGGCCTGTGGGGAATACAACACCCGGATAATCTAACAAATTGAAAATTGCCGTGTATCTGTTCAATGGTCAATCGAATGTTAGCTGGTTCGGCGAGGTATATACCCCCAGTATCGGGCCATGTCATGCGGATTTGCTGTTCCGGGGAAAGGTGCGCAAAGAATGACATCGCATCCCGTGGAATTCCAATAATCTAGGTACGCCTGCTTATATTGGTCTCGTCTATACCGAAGCTGATTCACACATTAACGACGTGGAGGTTAAAAGTGCCGCTGGCTCACATTCCATGACTGTAGCACAGTATGCTCAAACGTGTGCGGTGGGCTGATCACCCACTCAGTCAACGGCAGGATGTTTTCCCCGCCTTCTTCAAGCATCCCTCGAACAGTTGCGCCTCCATCCTCGAAGTATATTTCCCTCTAAATCAAAGGTGAGAACCACATTGTCGCCTCGCGCAGTCTCACTGACAATTATGTCATATCCAAGCCCATGTTCATAAGGAAGGTAGTCTACCACCTCGACCTCATCGCTTGCTTGCAACTTTTTGTATGCCACCTTAAGAGCCCGCAACATTGGGGGCTGTGGCATCACGACCCCATCATGCATCATTATGCCGATCCGAAGTTTTCGATCTAGCTTATCCGGAACGCTCCACGGTAGAGGAATCGATAGTTGGTCCTTCAAATGAGGCTGCGTTCCGCGCACAGAGCTGAAAAACAGATTGATGTCCCGCGCTGATCGACACATCGGACCAGTCGCTGCGACAGAGCCGTCATTGGTCTTATGACTGGATAAAATGGAACATCAGCACCTATGCCTCTCACTCTTAACCAACTCACTAGTGGAGATAACCTCCCTTCGGCATGGTATTGCTGGTCGGACGCAGCCCGTACAAACCGCATTTAGCGCAAGGATCTTGGATACTTCCTCCACCCTCGCTGAAAGAAAATCAGTACAAAAGAAAACCTGCACCGCACTCTCCAGTGAACTGATGACGAACTTTCCCAAGCCGATCGGGGAACCTTTCATCGCCAGCAAAGCTGATTCTCCACCGGAGGAGCCGCCAGGTGTGAGGTTTGTGTTATATGGATTGAGCTCATCATGGTTCAGAATCATAACTAATTTGTGATAGATCACGCACAGTTCGACCATGGAAAGACACGGTTTCCAGATGATTGATACTCTGCGGTTGATTTGTCTTGACGTAAAAGACTGATGACATGTGAACGCTTTGCTGGTCAAGAACCTGTCTTGCTCTCACCTGCTCCCAGCTCTCGCAAAATCTTTATCATCAGGCAGTCATCCTTCGAGATCTCAAACAGAGACAAAAAGCCACCCGATGCGAATCTTCCTTTGATCGGCACTTGTTCCTATATGACACGTCAACACAGTCGAGTGATGAATCCCAGTTTTGCCTTAATTGATATGGGCACGCCATGCAACGGTCCGACCACTTTCCCTTCTCGGACGAAGTACTGATCAAGCTCTTTGGCTCTATCCAAAGTTTCATCCAGGAAGAAGTCTACAAGGCAGTGTACAAGTTGATGAGCGATAGCTGCCCGTCTCCCGTATGCAGTGACCGTTTCGACCGCTGTTAATTTCCCTTGAGCCAGTTTGTCACGAAGATCCGTCGCATCGAGCTCAGTGATTGCAAGCTCATGATGAGTCAACAATCCACAGGTCTTCGGGATCTCAGTCACGTCTACGGGCAAGTTGTCGAGAATGCTTTCCGAAAGACGCAGAGACGCTGGGATTTGTGCCTTCATCCGCTCGTTGATCTCTTTCACCTTTGCTGTATACTCCACATTGCCGGAGGGAACAGAAGGTATAGCTCTTTGAGGTTTAGACATGGGGGATAAGAGCTGACTCAGTAAGACGAATAGATAGTATATCACAGTTTATATTCATGCCAACAGCCCGATTTGCAAGCGCATGATCGGGGTAGAAAACTACACCAATGGGGGCTGTTCCATATCTCCATTGTCTACTGCGGCTTATCAACGGCCCGCACACCCTACATGTGGTCATGTAAGAAGGAATTGCAGGCGTGTGCTCAAGAAACCATAGTACAGATTCTAGGTGGGCTAGCCTTGTCCTACGACGTATGCGCTAGCTGTCATTAATCAAAATTGTGACAATGCCGGTGCCGAATCGGCAATCATCGGCTCTGGCCTCATCTATCTCCTCATTTGGCACTTCATCTCCACAATGGATTGGCTACCAAGTCGTCGCAGGGGTTGGCATTGGGCTCGGTCTTCAGATACCCATCAGCGCCTCTCAGGCTATGGTTGACGTGAAGGACGTTGCTCCTGTTACGGCTATGGCCTTCTTCTTCCAGACGATCGGAGGCGCGTTCTTCATTTCTGCTGCTCAGGCTATCTTCGCCAACCGTCTGCTTGCCGTTCTGCCCAGTTCAGCGCCGAGTATTGATCCGGCTTTGGTTCTCGCCATAAGGGCAAGCGAGCTCAGAAACGTATTCCCTCAAGAGGTACTACCAGGCATCCTCAGGGTATACATGGATGGTCTCAAAGCAGCGTTTGCCTTTGCTATCCCCCTGTTGGGCCTCGCCGCCTTGCTCAGTATTTTTGTCGAATGGAAGAGTGTCAAGGGGTACGCCGCTGCTGGGGCGGCTTAGCCCTTACTTTTCCCCTGGTTCACACTGGGCGTAACATCGTAGATACATACCGAGTCCGTAATCACTGGCACACTAGTACTAGGCAACATGATGTTGATACAATGCACAATGCCAATGCGACGTTATGGCAATGGAATATTAGGGGGAAATGGAGTAAAGACTGGAGTTACTTAGTTATATTTTACAAACGATGTATCTATATCACCAAATACAGTGCGAGTAAGAGGAAAGGCTATAATATCAGACCTATCCATACAGTGCCAGAGAGTCAATAAAGATCAGTGCGAATTAGTGGGGTCCATTTCAAATAACCGCAGAATAGTAAGAAGATCATCTGAATATCAACGGTCAGGACCTTCCCCAGCAAACGGACAGGCGCTCACTTTGGCGTAAAGGCTTGGTCAGAAAGTATGTCATGCCCGCCGATAAGCATAGAAGCTTTGTTGAGTCCTGACAATCTGCAGACACAGCAAAGACTAAAGTAGAGTGTGAACAGTCATCAACTTCTGTGTGCTGCATAACAACTCACTGATCAAGGGTCGTCGGACCTTACACCTGTTCTCTAATGCTCTAAGACGCTTTGTTGCTTCCACACCGTCCAGTATTGGCATGTCTATGTTCCGGATGTTCAACCGGATTGATACCGTCCTAAGAGGCATTGCTTACGGTGGTCAAAGAGAGCTGCAGTGAAGTAACCAGGTCGATGCTTCTCCTATAATTGAATCGCTTCTTCTCCATTGTTTGCTGCGGTGACCGTCGAGCCGTGCCGTTGTAATTGCCTTACGAGAAGATTCCGCGCGATCGGGTTGTCTAAGAGTCGTCTATGAGGCATTGAGTTTATTCAATGTAGGAGTACTGACCTTCTGCCACCAGGACATTTCCAGCATATGCGACCGAACGGGAGGTCATATCGGCTGATATCTTGTTACCGCGGAGACCATCTCTCAGGGTAGAGCCGTTCGTGTAACCGCTACGAGCATCCCACATCCTTGAGAGTATTCGAAGGAACTTCTGTGTACGGGCCGGCTTCGCCATTCTAGCGATAAGGCCGCCATGGATATATGTGTGCATTTCGGGGGCGACAGCTTCGATGGCGACACCAGCCTTAGCGCCAGGTCTGCGGTTGAGGAAGTCTGCTGACGGAGCACAAAGATGGATGATCTTTGCGTGACTTAAACTAGGATATTCTTGGAGGAGATGGGCAATGTCGTCGATGCGGGCTTCCGCGTGTTCATCAACAACCACAAATTCCACACGGTCCTTCTTCATGCCAGCATCCCTGAGGAATATATCCGTATCTTCCGTGCTATTACAGACCAGAGACTTCACACCGATCAACGCAGCCTGGAGAAGATC